TGATTATGCAAAAATCAGACTCCAGATTGCAAAATGCTGTAGGGATCAAAATGAGTTAAAACTTATAATGTAACCAATTCAAATGTGTATGTACATGTAACTCATTTTGAAAAAAAAATGTCCCATAACACCCCTTTTTGTGGAGCCGGTCGCAAATACCCGGTATGTAAAACACTGAGGTTTCGGCCGTCATTGGCATCAGACTTTTGCTGGTAAGTACAGGACTATTCTAATTCAAAATAGCATAAAAATCCAAAAGGTACGTATTTCACCCTAAGCCCAATATTATATATTGAAATTGGAATATCGAGGGTTGTTAGGGTCAATATGGAATGCCAAATATTGAAAATCAGATTATGTACAGGGCACATGGAAAGCATGGGTACTGCACAAATGACTTCCTCTGAATTACGGTGTATGGCGGAATACATAGACTCATTCTGGTTACTGCTGTTGCTTGTATTCTGGTGTGATTCCTATTTCCCCGGCAACAAGTACTGATGCGGCGTTTCCAGACTCAAGGGCTTCATTCTAACGCTCATTATCACTCTCAATGATGCGACTGTAAATGCTTGGCAACACTGCTGTGGAGGGACAGTCCCAAGTGTCTGTGAATATGATATATCGTCGTCAGATCAGATCCAAATGATAACCTGGAGTGCTGCACTTGTTTGGTCGTTCGTGTGTGTCCTTAAACAATTATAACAGAACACTAATAAAAAAAACCAAAAACACAGTACTCCTGTCTTGGGCTTTGTTTGGGAACTTCTGTCAGTGGAGGACTGGGGCAGGGATATATTCTAATAATTTGCACATTGTCTTTTGCAAGCATATTGAGCGTACATGTACACGCACATATAAACTGCAAAGTCCTTATGATTTGTATGCACTTTACAATTCAATAGACATACAGCCCTCCTATGGGTGATAGTTTACAGGGAAGTGTGACCCACTCCTTTGGAACAGCAACGGATGGGGTGCAATCAAGTGCTACAGGTGGGTAAGGATACTCCAGAAACATTGCGGGCAAATTATTATTATTATGATATTACTACATTTGCTTGAAATGACACCAAGGATTCCTCACAAGCGCCCAAGGCACTGTAGTTGTACATGTACATGTAGCTCACAAGCCTGAAGAAACCTGTAGAGAGGAGACAATGAGAACTAGTTTACAGTTTTAGAGGTGGGAGGAAAACCCCAGAGGAATATTCCGAGAACCAAATCCACGTGTGGACTGAGCCGGGATTTGAACCCGGACCACACAGGCGGGAGGCGAGGAAAGAACCACGACACCAACCTGACTCCCTTCCGCCAAAGTCTGGTGCATCTACGGGCAAGTTCGGTTAAGAACCGCTGGTCAACTAGTGGTTGGTTTGTGACGTACAGTACGTACATGTAGTGCATGTGCAGTGAAGCTGAAGTGGGAACGACCCTAGTCGACCACCGTCAGGTCGTTAGGCCCACGGGGAGAAAAGGTGGCCCCAGAAAGGGCAAAATAGCAAAAATAAATGTGAAAAGGGTATTTTGCTAATGACACACTGTTTTTCCAGTGTTTTTCTCATAACTAGTCCTCTTTGCACTTTGCAATTAAAATTGGTTTATGGCAACCAAAGATGTGACCGACCTTGATAGGCTGGTCACAAATGGTTGACTAGACTAGTCTAACCATTGTCGACTATCGTGCGTTCGATCAGAGTTAGTCACACTATGGCAACTATGGTCCTTGATTGCACTTACCCTTATGTATTCAGTCCCTGCATCTCATTATTTCGGCAACCTAGTACATGTACATGCACGTACCACACACATACGTGTGCATACAGGACCATGCAATCTTCACGACAATCTAATTGAAGCCAACTCGGAACTAATTACTCTTCAAACGTCAAATTAAGAGTCAGTTTAATCAATACGGGAAATCACATGCAGTATAGGAGCACATGAACACTGCACTGTAATTTCTCCACTCACCGGTGCATGCCTGAGACAGACCTGCACGTCGGTTTCTACAGATTTCCTATCAACTGATGCTCTGTTTCACACGTCTGAAATCAACTTGATCAGAAACATAAGGGCACTCCCTCTGTTTTTTTTTCTTTTTGTGGGCACTGATCACAAAAATAAAATTCTCTGAACATGTGTCATCAGCTTAAAACGTGCACAAAAACAATGGCATAAATTCTACATGTAGCCATAAAAGTTAGATGGAGAACTTTTCATTCAAACACAGTGCGCATAGCCTCATTTCAAGACAAATGTTTGAGAAAGATGTATCTATTCATTCATCCTCTTGATGGTATTCGGTCTGCTCAAAGTGACCAGTGTCTTTAATATTGCTCCAGGCTGAAGTCGCAACTAACCAGGCAGCATGTAACGGAACACCATCAGATGCTTGTAAGGCCGGGTCGCATTGCACGATTACCTGCTACAGAAAACACATCACAGATGCAATTTCGAGAGTGATTCCAGTATTAATTTGATATCATAATGCAGGGATTAAGGACTGAGGGAGAGAGGTAAACTTATCCACCTGCCTGAGCCTGGCAAGGTGGGCTGGTAGGATTTCAACTACATGTATACAAGTACATGTATATGCCTGGTTCACTAGTGTTTCATCACTTTAAAGTGCATACATGTATATTTGTCCAAGCAATTTTATGAGGCCTTCTTGTGCAGTTGAAGTACACATTGAGTGTGCTGACTAAGCGGGACTGAGTATGGTCTTCAAGTTTGTGCACAACCAGTTTTCCACAGAATGTGCACAACCAGGTTTCCCATGAATGTGTACAAACCTGCCCTATCTTTGCACGAGAGGGACGCATCTTTGATAAGGGCTCTGGGAGATGTGTACATGTAGCATCTACATGTACAACGTATGTCACCATTTCATGTATGCTTTGCATTTTCATTTTAAAACTGAGAGATACATGCAAGCTGTCAGTTATGTCTGTCACAAGTCACTGTGGTCCATAAGGCCGGCATCTATTCCAGTTTCAGTTGTGTGAAACAGTGAAAAGATTCCCCTGGATGGGAGGGTATGACAGACCACC